GTCAGGTTTGGCAGCGTTAGGTAGGTGTCAGATTTGGTTGGTAGGTAATTTGGTTTGGTATGGTAGGGTTAGGTAGGGTCAGTTTTGGTAAGATTTGGGTTGATAAGGTTTGGTTTAGTAGGGGTTGGTTTGGTTAAGATTTTGTTTGGTAGGGGTTGGGTTGGTAGGGTTAGGTAGGCTCAGGTTTGGGGTGATAGTGAATGATGGCCATATTTGGATTTTTTTTCTTTTGATAAGGTACAGGTTGCTGTATATTCTTTATAGGTTATTTGTTATAGAATCTTAATCTTTTTATAACACTTAAGTTGTAGAATATGACTTTTTATGTACAATCAGTGAATGAAACAACGGTCTGCAGAGCAGCGTCGCGTCCCTTCAGCGCGTCCTCCCGCGCCGGGCCCTACCTCGACGCACTGGAGGACCGCCCGATGCACGGCCGGGATGTCGACCACGATGTACACGGGCGAGTCGAAGCGGCGGTACCTCGTGGGCGTGACGGAGCTGGACCTGGACGACGCCACGCCCCGCAGGTCCTCCCCGCCCGCCTGCAGGCTGGAGGGCAGGGCGGAGAGCGGCGCGTCGTCCACGTTGCCCGCCAGCGTCGGGGGGAAGCGCGGGGGCGTGATGGGGGAGAGCGCCGGCGACCTGAGGCGCGGCGAGGACAGGGAGTGGGGGGAGTAGGGGGAGCCGGGGGACAGGAAGGGGGAGCTGGGGCGCGGCGAGCCCTGGGACACGTGCGAGGACGCCGGGGACGCCAGGTTGTGCGGCGAGGCCATCCCCGGGGAGTGGAGGGGCGTGGACGAGGCGATGTTGTGGGCGGAGCGAGACGGCGACAGGTGCGGGACGGGGAAGTGGTGCGGCGACAGGTGCGTGGTGGGCGACAGGTGCGGGCTCGGCGGCAGCGTCAGGTGCGTCGAGAGCAGGCCGGTGTTGAAGTCCGCCCCCGTGGTGGTGGGCGAGCGGCCGATGGGCGTGGGGCGCGGCACCAGCAGCGTGGACATGCTCTCGAACGTGACCCTGGGCACGGAGCGCGAGCGCTGCCGGAAGGGGGGCGGGGTCTGCAGGTCGGGGGCGTCCATGAGCTCGTACGACGGGAGGTTCTGCAGCTGCCTCTGGAAGGCCACGATGTCCTCCTCGCAGGACGCCAGGTCGTTGCGCGACTGCGAGATGTTGGGCGTGGAGCCCGAGGAGTTGATCTGGTCGTGCACGGACTTGGAGCGCTTCTTGTGCAGGCTCGAGAAGCGGAAGCTCCTCTTCTGGAAGATGGAGGGCGAGGACGAGGGCGTCGTGCCCTTCGACGAGCTGCTGATGGAGTTGTGCGACTCGGCGGCCCGCAGGCGCGCCGGCAGCAGCTGCTGCAGCGTCACGCTGACGTCGGTGGTGCTGATGGCGGCCAGGGTGTCCCGGAGACGGCGCCCCCCGGAGCCGGGCTGCGAGAGCGCGCTGCCGGGCGTCGACACCTTCCTGTGGTGGAGCTTGAGCTGCGCGTCCTCGCTGTTGGCGCGCGACGGCGTGGCCGACGTGCGCCGGAGGTCCTCCTGCGAGGCGGGCGACAGGGGCGGCTCCTCGGGGCAGGCCTCGGCGAAGTCGAGCGTGAGGTTGACCCTGCGCCTCTTGCGCAGCGTGGAGGCGTCGGTCTCCGAGGAGGAGGTGCGGGACCGCGCGCGCCACACCTCCGACGAGTGCGAGGTCCAGGACGAGCGCGACGTGCACGACTTCCACTTGGTGAGGTGGTGCATGGAGGTCAGGAGGCGGTGAAGGAGGAGGCGGAGGAAGATGACCGGGTGCAGGACGAGCGGCAGCCCCAGCATGAGGCAGGACAGCAGGCGGCGCCCCAGAGGCCCCTCCTCCTTTCCGGCGAGACGCTTTCCGCCTCGAAACCCAACGCCTAGACCTGCAAGGGCGGCGCCATTAGAGTCTGCTCTCGGAACAAGGTTCATAGCGCCTGGAAGGACACGGGGAAGGTTAAGGGCGCGATACGATTCAGTGTCTTTCGTCATGATGTGAACCAACAAAAAATGCCAACAGATAAACAAAGGAATAATAATAACAACAATAAGAAACAGCAATAGAAAACAAAACAAAAAACAGCACATAATTGCTTTGGAAACACCTTTTCCCGACGTTCACAATATCCTCAAAAACAGGAGCGCCTTTCCCCTCCCTCTTAAATTCCAATAAACAACGGACTAGCCTTTCCCCCTCCCTCCCCCTCTCCCTCTCTCCCTATTCTCCACAGCGTCCCCTTTTGATTTCCTTTTTTCTCCACCCACCTCGGATGTCCACAGTGTCCCCCACTAACACGAAATTCAAACTGCTCTCTTTACGACCGGTTCAGAATCCGACAGAACCTGATCCGAATCCTCGAACTTTATCTAAATCTCTTCGCTTCATTCACTCTTCTAAGGCTTTATCTAAATATCTTCGCTATATTTACATATCTAAGGCTTTATGTACATCTCTAAGCTTTATTTACCCTTCTAAGGCCACATTTAAATCTCTACGCATTACTTACACTTCTATGGCTTTATCTAAACCTCTACGTTTTATTTGCTTATCTAAGGCTTTATCTAAATCTCTAGGCTTTACTTACACATCTAAGGCTTTATCTAAATCTCTAGCTTTTACACTTCTAAAACTTTATCCACAGGTTTAAGAATCTTACACAGTTCCATAGGACTTATTCATATGCAATATCCACATCTGATTTCAATTCTAAAGATCAGGACTTGAGCCACAATACCAGGTCACAGCCAATGGTTTTAATGGCAACATTTTTCACCAATGGTGGGTATTTACCAATTCTTTGATTATATCTACCATTTAAACTTTATAAATATTTCAAAAGACTTTATCGAATATCCACATTCCATCCACATATTTGTCTTTACCTTATTTCTTATTTCTGGGGTTTCACACTTCACTTCACTTTACTTAAAAGGTTTTACCCACAATTCAATTAATCCTTACCCACAATTCAACTAATCCTTACCCACACTGCCAAGGCTCTACATTTTACCCACAAACCTTATGGCATTACCCAAACTTTACCCACATTTCCAAGGCTTTATCGACAGTTCTAGGGATTCTTGCTCGAGTTCCCAAGACTTTTCAGACTTTCCTCGTAAGATTGTTGACTTATCTTGTAATTTCTTTTCGATTTTTTGAACTAGCCCCGCCCACAACCCGCATTTTTTTACTCTCTCTCTTTTTAATCTCCTTCTTTCCCCCTCCCCCTTACTCTCTTTAATCTCCTCCTTTCTCTCTTCTTTTTTAATCTCCTCCTTCTTTTTCTCTCTCTCTCTCTTTAATCTCCCTCCTCTCTTCTCTCCCCTTCTCTCTCTCTCTCTCTTTAATTACCCTCCTTCTCCCTCCCTCTCTCTCTCTTTTAATCTCCTTCTCCCCCCTCTCTCTCTTTAATCTCCCTCCTTCTCTCTTTCTTTCCTCCCCCTATATCTCTCCGCAAAAACCTTACACTAGTTTATCAATGAAAACAGCAATCAAAATACAAATAGGGAATAATTAACCTTTTTGCGTAAACCACAAGATGTAAACCCATGAGACTATGCGTCTTATCTGATCATAAGATGTACCAACATTATTATTTCATATGACAAAAAAAAAAAAAAAAAAAAAAAACGGGAAGCAGAAATATAATAAACATTTTTAGTGCTTAGCGCTCTTTGAGAAAAAAGAACAAAACTAAAAAAAAAGAAGAAAGCGTAAAAAGAAAAAGGAAAGAAAAAGACGAAAACACGAGAAAAAAGAAAGAGAAAATAAAAAAAAAGAAATTAACAAAAATCAGATGATTGCATCCACATCAAGCTTAAATGGTATATTGTCGCAATCCATTTATCAATACATGATTATAATTATGTACATTTTATTCACACTACAGGGATTGCAAAACGTATAGTTCTCACATTACATTTTATATATATATAATCATTGTTTAATATATTCATTTCCTTTTAATATATTCACAAGATGGCGGACATAATAATTTCATAAAAAATCACAAAACGCAAGTAAAGATGTTAATCAAATTCATAAATAAAAACATGACAACCCGAGCCATGAAAAAGAAGAAATAAGAGACAAAAGACAATAAAAAGAAAAGAAAAGAAAAGAAAAGATACATTCCCTCCCTCTTAAAAGAAAAATAAAAGAAATAAATGAGAACTACACAGCTAAAGGAAGCGGAAGCATTGCTACATACAAGCGCGCACGCACACAGGAACCGCACACAAGCACGCACACACGCACACACACGTACACACACGTACACACACTTACAGTATAACCCCCACCCACTCACATATCCCCACGACCCCACCCTATCTGTACACGCACATACCCCCTCCCCACATACACACGCACACACACACCCCATTTCCCTTACACACCAACCCAACACCCCTCCTCCTCCCCTCTTCCCCCTCTCCAACCCTCCTCAACCTCCCCTTACCCCTCCCCTCCTCCCTCCCCCACCCCTTCCTATACACACACACACAAATACACACCCAGACACACACACCCATCCAAACACCCACACACACACACCCATCCACCCAACCACACACCCACACACACACACAACACATCCAGACACATACACACCCCATCCACACACATCCAACACCCTCCCCCCACCTACTCCTAACCCCACACCCACACAACACACAGATACACATCCACACACCAACTCCTCCCACCCTCCCCACCTCCCTAATCCACACACATACAAACACCATATCCACACACACACAACCCCCTCCCACAACACCGCCCACACTCACACACACTCCACACACACGACCCACCACACCACACACACACACACACACACACACAGCATCGCCACGAGGTTCTACTGAGCACGCCCGCAGCGGGAGAAGAAGTAGAGGAGTGTAAACCTTAGAGGCCTGACCTCTCGTCGACTCGTGGGGTTCGCTGACCCAGTCCATGGAGGTTGTGCTCGTCGGGGTTATGCCGGAGGTGCTCGTGCTCTGCGGGCGGGAGGGAGGCGCTCGTGAGGTGAGGTAAGATACGGTATCAGTTAGATATGGTACCTGTCATATAAGGTAAGATACGGTGTCAGTTAGATATGGTACCTGTAGTATAAGATAAGGTGTCAGTTAGATATGGTACCCGTATGATAAGATAAGGTATCAGTTAGATATGGTACCTGTAGTATAAGATAAGATAAGGTATCGGTGAGATATGGTACCTGTAGTATAAATTAATAAGGTGTCAGTTAGATATGGTACCCGTATGATAAGATAAGGTATCAGTTAGATATGGTACCTGTAAGATAAGGTAAGATAAGGTATCGGTGAGATATGGTAACCGTAAGATAAGGTATCAGTAAGGTATGGTACCCGTAATATAGAATGAAATAAGTTGTAAGATAAGGTATCATAAGATATGGTACGTGTAAGATAAGATACGTTATCAGTAATATATGGTACCTGTAAGGTAAGATTAATACACGATAAGATGAGATAATGTATCAGTAAAATAAGGTTTGAGTAAGATATGGTATTTGTAAGATAAGATAAGGTATCAGTACGATAAATGGTACCCAAAAGATAAGATAAGATAAGGTATCAGTTAGATATGGTACCCGAAAGATAAGGTATCACACATGGTACCCGTAAGATAAGATAAAATAAGATGAGATAAAATAAGATAAGATAATGTATCAGTAAAATATGGAACCTGTAAGATGAGATAAGGCAAGGTAAGGTAAAATAATTTAAGATAGGATAATAAAGAATATGATAAAAGATTATATAAGATAAGGTAAGACAAGAAAAGACGAAATGAAATACGATAAGCTAAGATAAGGTATCAGTAAGCTAAGATAATGATAAGATAAGAGAGATTAATGTAGAAAGGTACATATATGGTATATTCTACGTCATTTAATGAAACGTTAAATAACCATAGTTAGCGCCCAATGAATAGGACTGATAGATGGGTGGATAGGCAGATAAACAGATAAAAAGATAAATAGATAGATAGATAGATAGATAGGTAGAAGAAAGAACACCAGATTAAAAAATGTGTAATATTTACAGATTGAAGTGTTTTTTGCAGAAAAATTAAGCATGCAATGTATCAAATAAATGAAGAAATAAATAAATAGCTGAATAAATAAATAACAAGAACAGCGGAGCGAATGCATGGCCGGAAAACACACAATAAAAGAGTGAATAGGGAGAGGAAGCGATAAAATAACGACGGAAAAATGCAAAAGAGAATTAGAAAGAGGGAAAAAGGGGTTGACGAAAAATGGTGAGGATAATCTAAAAGCGATCAGAGAGAAAGGGGGAGAGAGGGAGAGGAAAGAAAATGACAATAAAAGGGGTGCGAAGGGTAAAGGCAAAGGCGAGGGAGTGTGCGTATAAAGAGAAGAGGGAGAGAATGTGGATAATAGAGGATATATTAGGGAATGGGAGAATAATGGATAATATTGAGATAAAATGAAAATGATGAAAATATCAAATATTGGAGAAAGGGGGAAATATGAGAGAGGGACAAATATTGAATGGTGAGGCGAAATAATGGATAATATGACGTCAACAAAGGAATAATATAAAGATAATTGAATAAATAATGGGATAGAGAAGGTCATATGAAGGCGGGAATAAATCAAAGAAGAGGGAGAAGAAAGGCAGATTAAATACACAGAAATATTCAAAACAAAAAATACACAGAGAAAACGAACAAAGAAATATACAAATGGTGGGCAGACGTTAAAACCATCAACACATATACGCAAACATATTATATATATATATATATATATATAATATATATATATATATATATATATATATATATATATATATAATATATATAATATAATATGAATATAAACTCACCTCGAGAATACCCCTCAAAGAAAGAAAAGAAAAGAAAAAGAACGCAAAACCTCACCACGTCAAGAAAACCTCCCGAAACCTCCCCCTTAACCCCATTCCCCCAAGAAAAC